CTTACTATTGAATTAAATACTTTGGAAATACAAAATTATACCTACAACGCCGATTACCCAGTTAAGTTTTCATGAACTTCTTCCGTTAGGTAGGTAACGAAAATTAAGTTTTCAATCCAATAATTGTAGAAAATACCTACTAAAATTTAATAAACAATGTAAAATTACCCTTCTAATGTAGTATGTCAATTTTTTAATTCACTTATTCCTTCCTAATAAGCAATTATCGCGTACCAAAAGTACCTACAGAGTAGTAGTAACATTGCATGAATTATATCTATATTATTATATTAAATAGGAATATATCGTAACGATTAATTATAAAATAAGCCTGAAAAAGAAATTTATAAATCAGATAGGTTTGCATTTTTGTTGAAATTTCAATGAGTTTTCATCGGCTGACGCCACAGCGAATATACGCAAGGCTATGAATGAAACCAACCATCCTAGAATAATAGTGAAATATATTACTACATTATAATATTCCCTAAGCTCTTCCATTTTAAAATATTCGAACATAGCTAGTACCTTTTAGGTAAATATTTTTTGTTTTTGCAATATATTCTTATAGGTATTTTTGATTCGCTGTGGCCATTACTTTTTCAACTTTAATTTTCTCGATCCTCACAATTTTATCATGTCAGTAATACCTGTTAATTGTTTATTTATTGAGCTTTCAAATAACACCAATATTGTTGGGGCACCATGATTGAGACAGAAGAAAATCTTTAATAAAGTTAGCGTCGCGGGAGGAGCGGTTTATTTGATGCTGAGTGTATAAATTGTATCTAAAACCAAACTGATAAATAAAAATAAACTGGTAAGCAATAGGTACATATTAAATTTAATTATTCTAAAAATTGTTTCAAGAATATAATAATGGGCTGACTCATGATCAGAATCTCTCCCGAAGGGTGCAGATGATGTTTTACTTTTTATGTTAAGTATTTGACACTTCATGATAGAACCTAATCTAACTTTTGACTGCGTTTCTCAAAGTTGACTACCCTGTATTCCTATATTTCATTGAAAATCACTAATTATATCTACGCTCCAATATGCATCACTTGTAGGCCACACTCGGAGACATTATACTACCTAATCTCTTGTAGATCATTATTGTTTTAACATAAAAAACATTTATCTTCTAAAATAAAGTAATATGTAATTACTTAAATACCTAGGGTCCACTACGATCATCTATTCATAGTAAAGGTAATGCTTAGGAAAGAAGAAATCATTAACGGTTAATAAACGCAGTTAACTAATATTTAAGTTTTGTTTGATCTTCATTAATATTTATCTCTAATGGCCCATGCGCACTGCATTTTTTTCCGTTAAAGCGTTTCATCCAAATGAAATGCGCTTTGTACAGTCTGCGTCAAATAGTTCGTGACAACCAGAGTAGCCAAAAAGTTCGCAACACGTCTTTGTTATAATTATTTGGAATAAGGTTTTGTCGTCAACTTTTTGGTCACTTTGGGTGAACTAAACTACTCTAAAGATATTTAAGTTTTGTGGAAAAAAACAGTACGGCTAGCACGAAAAACTTTCGAGTTCGAATCGTTTGCATATTCGAATCGTCATCAAAAGATTTAGTAGGTACGAAAACTGCGCCCTTGTGAACGTATCGTAATGTGAACTTAATATGAGAAATGGTTGCACGAAACTTATTTTGAGAATCAAAATTGTCACGTTACCTATCGTTAATTCAAAGGTTGAGTATCGAATTTTGTCGAATACGCAAACGATTCGAAGACGAAAGTTGTTCATGTTAGTGGTACTGGTGGGCCCTATTTTGTTTCGAGTAGTCTATTTGACTCTGACTGTACGGCAATCTAATTTACCTTACCAGACGCCTGAAAAATGCGTGATGTGCTAAGGCCCTTGAACAGGATTCAATAAATTAAGTTTTTTTTTGTTGAGTTTGAATGAGAATGTTATATTACTTTAGAGTAGGCGCACACCGTTGATTTTTAGTTGGCTGATAGTTGTGCCCGATTTTAATTTGTATGAAGAATCGGCCAAATCGAATCGGCGTAGTGTGCGCACTCCCATACATGCCCATACTGATCAACTGCCCGACTAAACTATCGGCCGACGAAAAATCAACGGTGTGCGCGCCTACTTATCTGTTATAAAGTTTTTGGCAACACGGCAACACTCAAAAATCCCCCAACCGCGATTAAACGCAACTAATGTGTCTTATTTTACGCAAATACACAATTTTTATCAATAATAATGAATAAAAAATCCTAGAGTTAGTTTGTTATAGTTATAGACGCTTCCCTTCAAGTGACGTCATATCGCCAGCGACAAACATAAAGCGAACGGATAGTAAAGCAACCGTAATCATTTGACAGTTAACATACGATAAAATCCGTTAAACAAAGCGTTTGACAGAATAATCGTAGGTACGTTATGAACTGTCAAATGATAACGATTGCTTTAAGGTTCGGCCAAACCAACGCGATCAACCGGCGTGCAGCGATGGCGATCAATGCATTTAGGTCTGGTCGCCATCGCTGCACGCCGGCTGATCGCGGTGTGATCGCGTTGGTTTGTCCGAACCCTTACACAATTCCACCTCAGCCCCCCTAGACAAAACGCACTTTTTGATCGAATCGAAAATAGAATCCGTCAAAACTCCATACAAAAAAGGGGCTTTTCGACCACTTTTCGACTGGTTTGCGATTATAATTTGCACTTTGTCTAGACCCACTGAATATTTTATCGTAAGTCATGATACCAAAAATAACAAATATTGTTAATAGGCTTTTAAACATTTAGCATTGATGGTTGTTGACCTGAGCGACCGTACTACGACCAAATTGTCATGCAGCCAAGACTTCATAACAAACTGTAAGAACCTACTCATTTGTCTAGTTTTAAATATACTCAGTGTGTGGCGTTATATATGAAAATTCAACGAACATTCAATGCACAAACGATTACATTTTTTTATCTAAAAGATGGTTGGTAAACTGATGTAAGTACTTCAAAATTGTTTAGGCTTCGATTGTTTTATGATTTGGCTGATGTTAAAAATAGTTTGCATTGTGCGTTACGTTGGGTTTCATTATTCATAAAAAATAAACTGTATTGTATAAATGTGTTGTTTTAATTCTTCAAGGTTTTCATTATCCCATCCCTGTATTTCCTTACCCTGGGTAGGTAGGTACTGTCAATTGCACATATACAGGGTGTTAGGTAAATGGGTATATGAGCCGACACTAGCCCATGTTAACATGGGCATATAAATGGTATGGAGAAGTCAGAAATTTGATATCATCACTTGATTTTTTTTAATTTTCATACAAAATAAATTTTATAAAATCCGATTTGTATGAAAATAAAAATAATTAAAATGAAGATATCAATTTTCTGACTTCACCATACCATTTATATGCCCATGTTAACATGGGCTAGTGTCGGCTCATATACCCATTTACCTAACACCCTGTATATTAATTTCAATAAAATGTGGTTGGAGTAAGTGCGATTATGAGACAAAATATAGCGGTTTGAGTTGATCGCCACACTAGTAATTTTCATGGATTGAGAATAAATTCCTCATAACGAGCCCTAGCTCCTAGTCAGTTTGTAATATGAAGTGTGGCCAATATACAAAAAATAAGTGGTGAATTTGTATCTGATGGCTTAGTGTGAGTTTACATCAAACGTCACTAGTGAGTGAGCGCGTAAAAAAATGCATTGTACTTACAGCGCACCTAGCGGAAACTTTCAAGAACTAAAATTTTCATATATTTTTTTACGCGCTCACTAGTGAGCACATTTGATGTAAACTCACACTAAGCCCTCTCATAGGTCTCCTAGGTCAGAACATAGGTCTCCTCCAATGATTTCCACATCGGCCGGTTGGTAGCGGCTTGCATCCAGCCTTGCGAGCTGCCTCTGTTAATGTGTGTGTTTACGAGTCCTGTGGCTGAAATGATGATGATAATAACCTATCTGGTACAAAACGGATACCTATGTGTCACATTGAATTTTACCCCCAGTGCGCTGTCACATAAAAAAGTAATTTCGCGCCACAACCCGCGACACTAACGCCTTCCTGCGGAAACTGAGTGTACTAAAGTGACACAACGCATCAAGTGGAGGGATAAAGGCTGATTTATACCAGGGATGTTATGGATATCCGTAACCGTAACTGTCGGATATCCGAAATAAAAAAATATCCATAACCGTAACCGAAACCGATTCAAAAGTTTCGGATAAAGGCGGAGTCTAAATCTTAATATTTGTTACTTGTCTGGCATCCCCTGGCACCATTCTGATGTACCCGCCTGTTTTACCTTTTATCATAGGTGCCGTCATAGTACATAAAGTGGCTAAGTGGGTCGCACAGCATCTGGATACCTATTTGAATTTTACCTTTTTAAAATTCTAATATCCGTAACCGAAATTATCCGAAACTTTCGGATAATCCGAAATGATTTACTATCCGTAACCGTAACCGGTATAGTATTATTCGAATATCCGTGTAAATTAGCCTTTAGGACAAACTACACGTTTAGGGCTGGGTTGCACCATCTCACTATAATAAACGTCAGATGTCTGTCAAACTCCATATAAAAATACCTGCAGTCACGGCAAAATAAGGTGGTGCAACTCAGCCTAACTCATTTTTATAATTTTGGGTAGAGGTACTTATATTAAAATAAAAGAAGTGTAATGATGTCATGTCATTATATTTTTATTGTATGTTCAAAAAGATGAAACTATATAGGTACATAAAACCTTGCCTAAATCATATTAATTAAAAAATATAAATAAAAATCCTCAAAATAAATAAAATCCATACGAAAATCTCAATAGAATAGAAATCAAAGTGTATATTTGATTGAGATTTTCAAAAACGAAAAGGTATAATTTAAAATATGTAAAGTTAATTAATTTAATTTAAAAAATACATTGAGAATATCATTAACACAATTTAAGTTGAATTTGTAATTCTAGCTTGTTAAATGTAATAAATTTTGAATACTATAATTTTCAAGCACTTGTAATTTTTACACATTGTCGATTCACACAATATAAGTACTAGGGCAATCATAAAAATGGCTTTAAGTCCAGAACGTCCCTGTCATAATTGTTTAAGGCATAGACTTGTTTTGAGCGATGGAATTTGCTTTACGTATTGGCTTCCAAACCACTCTTAGAATCGCCCTGCCCCCATAGACAAGTTACAATACGTGACAGTTGCAATTCTGAAATCGCTTCGCTCTGGCGTTTTTTCATGTAGCTATTTCGCTCATGGAAGCGATTTCAAGATGAAAACTGTCACGAATGGTATTTTTTCTAGGCGGACTGTAAATATCTCACACACGCAGCAAGGCCTAATGCAGCTCAGTGAGAAGGCGATCTTTAGACATATCTTGCATTATATCTATTTAGCAAAAGAGCATAACCTAGCTAACTTTACATCGCTACGTCGTTTTATTCTGACTAGGATATGCAGGCGACGCTGGTCATGAAGCCGACTATACATTCTGTTGCAAGCACGATACAAATGGCTATATAAGTGCGCCTCACAACCAACGTCGCCTCGAGGCTTTTCGCTAACACCTAATAAACATGGGTCAACTCAAAACTTAAATGTTCATTGCACACTCCTCTATAATACATGAGGACAGTAATTAAGTCACAACAAACTCGATAAAACTTAGCGATTATGAAATATAGATACACTACGTCGTTCCCTCATATAATATATAAATACACAATTAGATAAAAAAAAACATGATGAACACTAAAATTAAATAAATGTCCACTTAAATTATGTTTGCACCATTAGTTATTTGATAAGAGATTAATAAACTGACCAATAAAATTGCCTATTTCTTAGGTTTTCAATAATTAAAATTAAATAAATAATGATTATTTTACAACTAAAACACAAAACACTTTAAAAGAAAGTTAACACATTAAAAGAAAAGTGGCCTAAGATCCAATAACAGCCTCCGCCGGTTATGTATAATTTACTTAGCACTAATATCTATTTATACTATATTACACTACCGATAGCGATTAATTCATTAACGTGATTGCAGCAGGTACTATTCTTTCCTTTGTACTTTTGGAAGCAAGAGGAAACAATCTTATTTGACCGCCAACTGGGAGATTATAGCTGCTAGTGCATCTTAGACCATGCGAAAATAACGTGAAAATCTAAAAAATAGGCTGATATTACATTATTTATTTACACTTTAACAAGTACGATAAACAATATTATTATGACACTCGTATTCTGGCCAAGAGGGATAATTTATAAAACTAAGAAGCAGTTTGTTTCTTCCATGAATATATTATGAAGAAATTTCAATAAATATTATGCAAACAGGCAGTCCTGCCGCCTGGTAAAATATTGCAAGCACTATAAATAATAAATAAACTATATACGTTATCCCTCCCGACTATTTCTACTTAAACATAAATATTAGTAATCTATGAGTGACATCACACATCTTAATTACAGCAGATCATTCAACGCAAAGAAGTTCAAAATGCGATCCTAATCCACGATCACGGGTTGCTATTTTGATCCGTGGAAACTAGACCAAAAGTTAGCACAAGAAATTAATGAGAAAATATTTGATTAAATAACAGCGCAAATGTCAGTTCAAATAGAATAATATAAAGGCTGATTTACACGTATGAAGTTGTTAAGTGGGTAACTAAATTTTTATATGTTCGGTGGCAGCCGCCGACGCCGTTAGCCGCGGGCGATAGGCGTGCTGCAGGTGGCGCTCAAGCGGCGAGTGGCGAGCCACTGGCCTAGCACATCGACGTGAATACGCTGGAGGAAGACACCTCGCGCACGCACCGCCGTTGTTCGGCGATCATGTTGTGGAGATTGTCGATGACCACCTCGGTGCTGTAGGTGGCGTCAACAGCGCGTGCTCAGATCCGCCTCCATTTTGGCGAGCATCCATTTGAGGCTGGTGCGTGTCCGTTCTTTCGTGCTTCTAGAACCTCGAGAAACGAGGAAAATAACGATTTTCTTTCGCTTGTATTTGTAACGGTTTCTTGCATTTTAATGAAAGAAAATTTGGACGAGATCGAAAGAAAATTAAAAACGTAAATTAAAGGGTAACCATTGGGTTACCAAGGTGAAACGTAAATTAAAGGGTAACCATTGGGTTACCTTGGGAAGTGAGGCATATTGATGCCTCACTTCAATACACACATATTTTTAAGGGTTAACGTGTATTTTCTCAACGCTACCCTCACGCTACGAGTCTCAAAATAAACTACATTGCGTTGAGTACATGGTTGGGTTTTGGTTTATTAATCTTATGTGCCACCAGTGGTCTAAATTGAATAAAATATTTTTGATTTGATTTTGATTGCAAAGGTGTAATTTCTCATCATGACGTCACGCATAGTTACTTACGAATCCGTTATTACATTAACATGCCATGGATAAATAGATATCAACTACGAATCTTTCTACAGGAAATTATAAGTCTTTGCGAATGGTATCCTTATTATAATAAATTATAAATCATTTACATCGATGCGTCTTGGCGACGTCGTCTACAGTATGTTTTTCTTTAGGTGCGGTATAAAGTTGACAAGCAAATTACCAGAGTACCACGAAAATTTTGGTTTTCGGTATAATATGATCACATTATGTAAAGTGGAGATATTCTAGATGTTTTTCGATTATAACAAGGATTGCAGTCAGTTACTTTATAGGGTAAAGTTGACAATATTTATCCCCTTATTAGCTCAAATAATATTAATTTTTGAAAAATTATAGAACCTCAAAGTTTATATATTTTGTTATGTATTCAACTTAGGAAACAAAATAAATAAAATAAATAACTACTGAAACCAACTTTAAAAAAAAAGCTGTCATAGCTGCGCTCCTGTAAGATAATGTGGCCATTTTTTTTAAATGGTAGTTAAGTAGAAATTAAGGAGATCCGATTTAGACGCGGTCCAATTTAAGCAACTTCACTCTACATTAGTAAGTTTTCCCAGATCTGTCTGTCAACTTTATCCGAAACCTAACGAGAAACAAACTTTAGTCATTCTATAATAAATTAACAAAGAAAGATATTTAAATAGATTTCAATATTCCATGAGCACTGTAAAATACAAGCAGTGCACCATGGACCATAATAACTTAACCATCATTATATTGGAATAAAAGTATCTGTCAAATTGTAATATTCATGGATTCTAATATAATATTATCATACAATATGTCACTGAATTTAATTTAAAATCTGCCTACAGAATAATGTTGATTGCACAATAGAACGATAGATAGTGAACAATTTGTGCTAAGTGTTTTGATGGTGTTAAACCTTGTTGCACTGTTATAGGATCCCATGTTGTTTACATTTCAGAAACAAGGCAAAGTAACACCTGGTCTAGAGGTGCTAATTATATGGGCAATAATAAAGAAATACTATGACGTCACAGCAATATTAAGGAACGATATAGAGCAATTTAGTAAGATTTAAAACCTATAGTTGCATAGATTCATAGAAGTTGTCCAGTTATTTTTGTTATTGGAAGAAATACTTCCCGTGTAAGAGCACCACACAATAATCACTTTAAGCTTGATCATTATATGATCTATATTATATTTAGCCCAAAACACTTCAACGAAATTATTCACCATCTCTTAGTCTAATATCACAAAACAATTTAGGACCACTTGCGCCATATTGTTAAATCTACCGTCAATCTAGCTCTTGATCAAAACATGATTTCGTCAGTTTTAAATTCAAAAACGTTATTGTCATCAAGATTTTGTCAATCCCCAAATAAAAACGAGGCACAAGTGGACCCTGATGTTTTTCAAAAATGTGTACATTGCATGCAGACTGGATAAAATAAATAAACCGATTGATGCCACGACGGCTTTTTTTTAGCAAGTTAAGTAATGTTAATATTTTGTCTGACAAGCAGGATCGTTAGAATTCGATCTGCAGGGATAGTCAAGAATTGTGTATAAAACCAATAATCTCAGGGTATAACCCCGAGAATTCAATAAACTCAGTTAAGTAGCTTTATTTTTAATCCCAGTACAACGAGTAATAACTAGCACGATAAAGTTATGAAAGTTAATCGCTCATTTCTGAAATTTCTTTAAAAAGGATTACACAGCTGTGTAAAAATAATAAATTTCTTAGAATAGTTCTGGATGAAATGATTGAAAAATTTGTAGGAGATTCGCATTTCATGAAATAAATAGTGGCGTGGTCCGCCCTGGTAAACCGAAAATAGCGATTAAATTGCTACAATACTCGTTAAAGTGGAAAGATAACGACCTTAAATGTAAATTGTTGTATAATTAAAATTGTGATGCCGGTGATACAACCACAGCCCGTATGGATAGCGGTCAAGCCGCATGAAATGTTTATAACTACTAGAATGAAAGCTCACGAATGATTTGTTCAAAGAGTCTGCTACTTAATGCATTCTAACCGTGATCGCCGTCGATGATAAGGCGAACACTACACGAAGATACTACCCACTTAAAATTATGCCAATTACCTTTGCCAAAATCATTCGTGGGCTCTTAGTCGATACACTCTTATAATATAATATATAAAAATCTTGTTACATTACAACTACTAAAATGAATTTATTATTTGGTGGTTACATCTTGTACATTATTAATTAAGATGAGATTAAGCCGAAACACAAGATACTAGAACACTGAGTCAGTCGCTGACGCTTGTGTGAGCAATATAAGGAGCTGAGCTTACTCTAACCATTACTTAAACGAATCTAAGACTCTAGTTGAAGAAAACGAATGACGTTGACACGGATTTTACCTTTAGTTTTGGGAAGTCTAAATACTATGCAGTAAATAAAAGCACTTTCACATTTAGCAATAGCCTAATGTGAAAGTGCTTTACAGTGCCCCTGCGTCAGCGCAATATAGTGCCACGGACAGCGAGCGTTCAGCGCTGCTGTCCTATGGAACGACGAAACAGATTTGTACAGCAGCTACCTGAAATCATCTATTGGTGCAGTGCGAATTTCATAGGGGTTACCGAATGTAAAGGCACAAAATTTATCTTTTTTCAACAATATAAAAAAAAACAATTCCCAAAACTAAGTGATAAACGTGTTAGAGTAGACGAATTGCAGCAACAAAAATATTACACAAAAAGGAGCACAACGATTACACTCGTGATATAATGTATAGGCGAGTTAAATGAGTCTTTGAGTGCCGAGCACTGCCATCCGAAGTCCGTACGTGACGTGAGCGTGACGTGAAACACACCTGCTAGAACGATACAGTGTGCATAATGAGGTGAACAGGTAATGGATTACGAAGGACCAACTCTTAACCGAAATCAATTCCATTTGCCAAATGCAACCAAACTTGAACTTTTCATGTAATTTAGACCACTACAACCATTTCTCCGCATTATCCTGTTTTGTCGACCGCTTGGGAATGTATAAGACAATTATTATCATTCAAAATATTTAATGTTATTTACGCAAAATAATACTTATTGCAGTTCATACAAGAAAAATCTTATATTGAATTGCGAGGTTTGAATTGTTTTTGCGTATATTTATTAAAATATAATTCTGATATGCACTTTATGGGAGCGTAAATTTGATATGAAAGTAAAAGACGGTTGTTGATAGAAGAGCCACGCTGTTGACTGTGACCGAACTAGACCTGGTGAACACAGCCGATACATTTCCAAGCGGCGTCCTATTTACTGGGGGAGAGCTCACGCGTGTACCGGCACAGCGGGCTTAGTCGACGTGCACACGTAGACGAAGTCCGACTCGGAAGAGAGGCGGGCCCGGCTGGCCTTGCGTTAGGCGGTGGCCACTTGCCACACTATCAGGTGGCTCTTGGAAGCGCGCTCCGCCAACGAACTGTGCCCGCTGGATGACCCGTCCTCCGCTATCACCACGCTGTCCTCCATCTCGGAGTCGGCTGTGGAATTGGGAACAATCAACAATTTGAATAAGTTCGCTTTAAGTCGAGCGGTGTCGAATTTCAATCCAATCCTACTTCCTAATTCTATTATATAAAAGAAAGTCGTGTTAGTTACTCCGCTTATAACTCAAGAACGGCTGAACCGATTTAGCTGAAAATTGTCAGGGAGGTAGTTTAGAGCCAGGAGAAGGACATAGGATACTTTTTATCCCGTTATTTATTGCCATTAAGGCGGAACAAAGTTCGCCGGGTCAGCTAGTAATATTATAAATGCGAAAGTTTGTATGGATGTCTGGATGTTTGTTACACTTTCACGCAAAAACTTATACGGATTTTAATAAAACTTTACAGTATTATTGTTTATAACCCAGATTAGCCTATCTGTGACACTAAATTTTACACGGGTGAAGCCGCGGGCTAAAGCTCTTCCTACTAATATTATAAATGCGAAAGTTTGGATGTCTGGATGTTTGTTACTCTTTCACGCAAAAACTACTGAACGGATTTTGTTGAAACTTTACAGTATTATTGTTTGTAACCCAGATTAACATATAGGCTATAATTTATGCGATAAAATCTGATTTTTATGTATAATATTTGGGCAATAATTAGAAGTATTTTCCCCAACAGCTGACAGTTCCAACTCCTTGCCAGACAGATTTTTTAGGGTAGCTCCCAAAGGGCCTATATTCACCAACATTATATCCTATATTGGGAGCATACGCTGACAAACTTTCAGCTTTTATAAAATGACGTACCTAGGTCTGGCGTTCACTAGCTCTTAGACTAAACCTGAATCGTTTGAGTAAACAGATGTTTTATTGTCACAGCATGAAACTAACATCAATCAAATCAACGAATTAAGTACTGTCAAGTGGTAATAAATGAATACGATGACAGTTTTTCAGTGTTAGACAAGTACGCTGTTTATTTTAAATCGCTTGACTTGAAGATATAATGATTTTATACGTGTAACAATGTTAATAAAACACGTCAGATTAATTCAATCATTAAATATCATGTATCAGCCGCTATATTAACAAAAAAGAACACAAAACATCAGAAATATAAATTTCACATGTTAACAACAAGACAAAATGGAGTTAACCATAACATAACTGTTAATATATACAGTTGATTAGCAATATACACGTTAGCGATAGATATGTTGTTAATTTTAGTACATTAAAATGACCCCTTCTTACCTTGGCTAGTGCAAAGCAGAAATATTTGCTCTCATAATTTTAAATATGCACTTACGTGAGCAAATATAGCCGATTACAACTAGGCGTTTTAGGTTTGGATTAGTATGTCAATTGTAATTTTGTAAGCGAATAAGCAAATATTATTGAGTTATCTGCCCCAATAACTGTATGAAAATGATTACATACAACGGTATATTCGCTTGAGTGTCTGACCACAAATATTATGTAAATGTTATACTGATATCAAAGTACTATTTTCATAAAAATAATGGTGATACGTCAATATTATTGGTCAGATGAATGCGTTAGTGATGCACAATGTACTGTATGATTAGTATTAAAAACTTCATTAGTGGTTTTACACGTGAGTCCAAGCTACGTACATGCCCTCAAATGTGATTATAAAAATTGACGTACCGTACTAGTAAAAAGGGGAAACTTTAAGAATACTATGTAGCACAGGGAGTATGGTATATCCTCCAAACCATGAGATGGGAGGCCGGATCACGGTCGTCAGCATGCTCTTCTAATGGCAAACAAAATAAAACCGGGACAATTATATGGGCACCGGTAGTTTGTTTCTCGACTAAAATGCGGGAGTTAATGTGATGCGTGATATTATTACGTGGTATGCTATGTCCGTTGTAAGCTGAACTGATTTGTTAGTACTATTAACCCTTCAAGCCCAGCCAATCGAGACAATAGAAATCAATTGTTACGAGGTCATATGCGACCACTTAGGGATCGGTGTGGAATAAATAGCAAAGAATAGAAACATGGCAGGTTTCATGTAACAAAATTCCAGAATTTGTCAATAAGATGTGTAGTACTTAGCCTTATGTACAGGATGCGTATACGCAGCGTTTATTTAATTTGTAATTCATTGCCTCACACGCACATAATATATCCTTCAGCTGTCAAATTGTATGGAAAAATAACGAACCACTAACGTTGCACTCACGTCACCGTGTGTCAGAGGTTAAGTACTAGTCCCGATTGTTATTATTGCACGTTTTAATCTGGGTAAATTATTAATACACCCTACTAAGAACTGAATGAAGTCAATGAGGGCTATCGTTTTTATACTTAACAGTTGGCACCCCTGGCGATTGACAGGACCTTACTCTACAGTGACGCCATCTTGATGAGTGCAAATACGATAGTCCTCCTACCACTTTAGCGCTCACAAGTTGGAGCCACTGTCTTCGCTACTAGCAAGTGACAGGACCTTACTCTACAGTGGCGCTAACTGGTGAGCGCTAAAACGATAGCCCTCATTGTGGATGAGGCATGTCCGTCGCAAGTTTCAGAATCGACTAAGCTGCTAACATAGATTGTGAGCAAAACCAAAGTTATAGACAGTGGTTAATTATATCCATATTAATATTAGTGGTCATATTTATAATGTATACAAACGACATGGGACATAAATAGTTCGTTACAGCATCAGCAAACAACGGACAAGTATGACAATGTATAGTAAGTAAGCGATGACATTAATTTAATTTCGCAATAATGTTACAACACATTTTAGTAGGAAATCTGCACCTGCAATTCAAATCAAACAATAGGCACAAATATACTGGCAACTTTAACCAGATACCTGGAACTAAGCGGTACCATTTCTAATAAGCGTAATGCTATGTAAGGTAAGCATAGAAAGCGTAAAACACTACAAACTATTTGTTGAATAACTAAGCACAAGCTTTTTGTATCTTGAAGTATTTATGTACAACCTGCGTAGATAAATAGTGGGATTGAAATGATAACATGTGTATCTCTTGCTTGCAAATTATGTGCAAGCGAGAGAGATCCATAAATATCACCATTTATAATCCAACTATTTAGGTACACGAGTTATACAGCCAACGTGCATATTGCTTGCTTTGAAATCTATATCCTGTCAGTGTAAGAACAAACAATTTCTTCTACTTCACAAGTGACACGCTAGCCGTCGCAGAATAAGTAAAGGGTTTACTATGTAAGATAGTTCGGCAATTCGGCATCCGACGCTTTTCAGCCAGCCGTATGAAATCACTGAATAAAAACTACCTAGTCAAACGATATCTTAATCGTTCTACACCGAACACTTACGTCACGGTAATACTATGATATTATTACCATACTGACTTTGTGTCAGCGACAAGATTCGGGACTGTTTTGTTTTCGAATAGCCTCCTAAGATGATTAGTGTGTAGAGCGCCTAAACTGTTGGGGTTCTCATCTAAACTAACGGTATGGGTAACTCATCTTTCAAGGTATTGTAACATGGTGTAATAGTGTAGTGAATCAACATGCAGACTTACCTATTCTGAAGTCGATATAACCTTCCCCGCCCGATATGACCAGCATGGGGTTAAGTAACCGCAGTTTGGGCGAGTCTGGCGAGGTGGCCTGTGGGGACGGCGGGGGCGGATGGGCTTCGGGGGCCCCTGGGACAGCGACGAAGAAGGTGACAGCGTCCCGGTGGCCGTGGAAACTGAGTTGCGCGTGTGCCATTGAGCACCACGGGATCGACCCAGTTGGACTCGCGGACCGGACGTGAACTACGGATGTGTTGCCTGGGAAATAATGGACCATTTAAAAAGTCATAATACCTTCCAAGTAAATGTAGGAGATAGCTTTAGGACAACACTTTTTCCTAGGTTACTCATGATGACATTAGACGTTGTAGGGAATTTATGTCAAACTCGAGACTTACAGACTAATATTGGTATCCCCACGGCCTAAGCCTAACATGTAGGTAGGTTGTTTTCACTACCATACAGTCAGGTAAAAATAAACCCCAGAAATGGCAATAGAATTTCATATTAGGTAACTACACTATCCCATATTAATTCAATTACATTTTATTTACATCCAAGGGAATCAACATTTGGTAACAATCTTAATAAAACTACAGAAGATCCAAATGAATCTAGGTAAAAACTTACCACTGGTAGTGGGTCTCGGGACGCTCGGTACCGTTTCTTTCCCCGTCCCCTCGCTCAGTGGGACGGATATGACCACACCGTTGCTCGTCCCGATCCAAAGCCTTCCGGAGCTGATCAGCAGTGCCGTGATGCGAACCAGAGAGAAGCCCAGCTTTCCCGTGCCCAGCATCTTACTGACGTATGGCTCTATGTCCACGTCTTTCAAGTGTTGGTACGTATGAGCGTGGTACAATCGAAGTGTGGAATCCATTTTTATTGATACCTGTGGATAAGTGTAGATACAAATGAATTGAAGTAGTGGTGGTGAATTTTGAACTAATTTGGAATTGATGACCACGTTCAACACAATATCCCATGTGCATCGCCCTTCATCAATGTGACTGGTCAAATTCAGTCATTTTAAATCTTTACTCCAAGTGAGAATGTTGACCAAATGTGAGCTAGCTTGCAAGAAACAAATAAACATAAAAATCAAGAACAAAACACCTAGAAGTCTATGACCAAAGCGTTATTCTGACACAACTTAGATCTCAATGCAATTATTTCATAGAATGTCACAACTGGAGACGACTGAAATGAAATTGGCCTAAGCAAGCCGCAGTCAAAACTCTTCCAATTCGAACTTTATGCTGTGAAGACACGGTTGAAGGTTAGGTTATTATAATAATAGCACTCACCCAGACGCCGTCTCCGTCGCACGTCATCTGCCGCACCTGGCTCTCCTGCCGCGGATGCGCCTCGAGCGTGTGCAGTAACGTGCGCGAGCGCGGGTCCACCACGTGCACCTTGTTCCTATACCCGCACCATACAGTGTTGCCCACTGCACAGAGGCAGCGCACTGCAAGGAAGGCGTGATCTAGATACGGGTAATATAAGATCAGAGAGCGTAGGATGCGTGCGTGATCAGGGTTCGAAATTATCAAGATAATTACGCTTCATGATAATTCTTCTTCTTTTTCTTTTCAGCCAAATGACGTCCACTGCTGGACAAAGGCCTCCCCCAAGGTTTTCCACAATGAACGGTCCTGCGCTGCCCGCATCCAGGCTCTTCCCGCGACCTTTACCAGATCGTCGGTCCACCTAGTAGGAGGCCTGCCCACGCTACGTCTTCCAGCCCGTGGTCGCCACTCGAGAACTTTCCTGCCCCAACGGCCATCGTCTCTACGAGCTATGTGTGTCATGATAATTATCAGATAATTATCAACAGTATAAAATACATTTGTCATATTGCTTCATAAGAAATTCTGATTGTGTATGTTGTTTTATGTTTTTGGTTGCTGATTTTCGTCAAGTTGTCCATGATAGTCGCATAAAGTTTGGAAAATAGATAAATATTTTGATGCTAGATAACTAGCGATTATTGTGGAGCTAAATAGATAGGTTTTATAACTACCTTTGTTGATTAACGCCCACTAATTAGACGCAAGTGCGGAAATACACGTTAAATCTTCGAATACAGTTCATTTTCACGAGCGCATTTTTTTGTTATTATCAACCGATAATTTTATCCATCTGTTTATTATCACGATAATTATCCTTTCGAACCCAGTGCGTGATATAATGTTATCGACGATTTCAGACGAATATACACGGCCTTATAGAATAAAATCGATATGGCGCGCATCCTAGCCTAACTGGTGAAAGACGTTTTTGAAAGTTTATGAGTCAACTTTGTATGATCTTAATTTATCTGGGACATGCCCATATGAACCTTTTATGCTTCTTATTGTGTTCATCAAATTTTTTATCAATAAAAGGTGAGACCTGAGAGGAAAACACAGTGTTTACCTAGATCCAAAATACTGAACTGTCCTATCCGTGACATTAACAGCGGGGCGCCACCGTCAATACCGGATCGCTGGTTCCGATTTTTGCCACGTTGGAAACTATAAAGTTGTACAGTGGTGGCGTCCCCCTGTCAATGAGTTTGGTGGGACAGTTCAATGTAGGTCATCTATTTATTGTCGTGATAGACTATTGCGTCGGTAACGACAGTCGTGACAGTAAAGTGTAATGAAAAATGTCGTGACAGTGAAGAAGTATTTCATGAAAGATTAGCGCTCTGCAATAATTTTACAAAATTCTTATAATTTAAACCTTAAAAGCGAGACGATTGATAACACAGTAATAGACAGTGTACTTAGTAATGGTACGCTAAAAACGCGCTGTATTCTTATTTACATCACAAAATATATACTTATTTATAATATTTATGTACTCACCAGAACACTTGCAGTCGCCTAGCGTAAGAAGCCAGTACTGGCCGAAATCCCACTCCCCGTCCGCCAGCCGAGCGAAGATGGCCACCGTTCCGTCAGCCAGGGCCACCAGACAGCGAGACGCGCAAGCGACGATGGACAGGATGGCATCATTCAGTTTCAATCTAAAGAAATACAATCATATAGAATTATAGATGGAGGGGCAAAGACCTTTAAAGGGGGGCGCGGGCCATCTGTGTCGGACCGCAGGTTCCGATTTTTGCCACGTTGGAAAACACTGAAATGTCATTTGCAGGAGGGCGCTGCCGTCAATGCCGGGTTACTATTTCCAATCTTTGCCATTATAAATCTTTGACACACGATTGAACAGAGGGCCTAGTGTGAGTTTACATCAAACGTGCTCACTATAATAGTGAGCGCGTCAAAAATGACATTAAATGTATGACGGATTGTACAGCGGGAAACGTTCAAAAACTAAAATTTTCATACATTTTTTAAACGCGCTCACTAAACTCTCACTCAGCCCACAGGTGTCTTCTTGGGCAAGCTCGATCCACCATTAATTGCGTCAGCGCACTGCGTTATTATGAGCAAGTCCATATTTTATTTTTAAGAAATAGGCGACTTTCACCATTTTATGTTAAGTTTCAGGTAGTTATTTGACGCACCTGATATAAAATTAAAACAAAAAATAGTTGTCGCTGACTTTAAGAAGGCCTTAAGATAAGATGCTACCAGGGTCTTTATCAGCTAGTGGTGTGTCGGAATGATCTATGTCAATTGTATAAAAGTTTCTAAAAAAAGATAATATCCAATAGATTCTATCACAATAAGGGCTATTACCGTATTTGCATTCAAGTTGGTGTCATTAGCGAGTTAAGTCCCGTCATTGGCATACACAGTGGGGCTTTATGTTTACCAAGATGGCGCCACTAGCAAGAAAGGCACTAGTTACTTGTCTGTGGCGTCAACTGGCGTAAAAAATACAGCCCTTTTTTCCTGCCCTAAATAAAAATCTTCAAGAACTCAGATTAATCTACATAGTTGTACAGTGTGAATTACGAGTCTTACCTCGCCAGGCACTTGCTGTAATTTCCCATAGCGGAGTGCACGTAAAGATTGCCGCTCTTGGTGCCAAGCCACATGGTTGCCATCACGGTTGACATCTTGCGGTCCTGTGTCGCTTCTGATTGGTTCTCCGTATTGTTCTCAGCATTCGACTCTTGCTCTTGCGCGAACGCATCGACACCCGGCTCGGGCGATGCAGGACGATCTAATTATAAAAGTGCCGTTTTAATTTAATTCAGTTTTGAGTTGAATATCCCCATTGATAATAAGGATACATCAAGAGATACATCATATTACTCAAAATTGCAACTTTAACTTGAGCAACATAACGCCGCTTTAGTATACAACACATATTTTTAACGTTTTTCATAATTAATTAGGATATCACATAGTAGAGTTATTCAGATACTTGATTGCTACGAAAGCTTCGTCGTTATATTTTTCGTCGTCGTTGTAACTTAAACAGAAATAAGAATGGCAAAAACTTTATTTATTAAAGCGACATTAATGAGTAAATATAAGTCTTACCTATAACAATACAAGTATATTTGTGCGCATCACGGTGCAGGCCATACTAATGATACAGTATGTCCAAAAGCAGTGAGCGACAATTTATTTCCGCACCGGGTATACAATAAGACAAAAGATAGTCTCATCGCAAATTCAAGTGCGTTCTCCTAAGCGAGGTTTAGACTAGCAATAAAATTTGCAGAAGTTGGCTTGCCACAGCTATTTACACAATAGTAAACAGCTTGCTGAAGTCACCTTCTGCAAGTTTTATTGCTAGTCTAAACCTTGCTTTATAGAGGCAAAAAATCAGAAATCAGTATACACTGTAACCTTGATTGTTTTAGTATTTGAATTTTATATACTATACAATACAATGTAGTACAGCAATTAATGCCAGTCTCCATCAAAAATAAAGACTGTGTGTTAATTTGTACGTCATTGTTGGCACAGTGTAATATTTAACATAATAATATGCTGCGCAGTAATACTTATTATTATGTCCTTATACTGTGCCAATAAAAGTTTTTGTTATTTTTTTCTTATTAAATTAAAAATATTTATAACTTAAAATTGTGTCTTCTAATGCAAAGTTTAAGAGCTCGAAATTTTAAGTCCTGTCTTTTTTCACGTAACAAGTAGATTAACATTTTCGTGAAAACGGAGCACGATTGAAATGTTATTAAGTAAATATTCATCATCCTAAAATAATTTCGCAAAACTAATATTTTCATTCAAGGTTTGTTCATAGTAGAATCTGATCAGCATTCCTTATACAAATTGTAAGCCGACCAAACTATCGGCCGATTAAGAGTCGGTATAGTCTGCAGTGTCTTCTAGTAATAGGCTAGATGACAAAATTTCAATTATTTGTCCGTCAGGCAGATAATTAAAAAAATAATATTAGACTCGTATTTTTTGTTTTCTTTCATAATTAATTAATAACAGTGCTACATCGAGTTGAAATGGCGCATTACGTCACACCTATGTAGATTTTTACTAGTGACATCACGCGACATTTCAACTCAATATAATACTGTAATTATTTGATCATAAAAAGAATGAAAAAATATGTGTACAATATTTTTTATTGTTTGTCTGACGGACTAAATAGAATTTCGATTTCATGACCCAGTCATCATCCCAATAGGGATGTTTCCCGGGTAAAAAAGCAAGAGTTTTAATAAGTTCGTCAGTTAGCTTATCAAAAACTACTCGACACGTATTTTTCACTTTTTAAAACTAATGAAAATTTAAAGTGATAAATCGTGTCAAAGTTCTAAAGAAAAGGCCCGTGACGTCAGTGAGTGCGTAAAAGTGCAGCACTTTGTGACGCCGCGCGGAACTTTAACGCACTGTAATTATTTGTTTCATTGACAATTAAAAATATACGTGTCCAATATTTTTTTATACTAAAATTGACAGACAAAAAAAAATTTTTTTTAGAAAACTAGCCGCCTATTGAAATTACCTCGGTGCATTGTATGGTTAGGCGTAGAACTGAGCGGCGGACTGCCAGGCGGCATGGAGTCCGCATCGTCGCCGACTTTTAGCGTGGTGTCAGCAGTTTCAGCGCCCTCTGCCGGGGGCGAACGCTCCTTCACCGGCGTACTTGGAGGCGTCAGCAGCGTTGAGTATACCTGGACGAGTCATATCATTAGAGTAGGCGCACACCCTTGATTTTTAGTTGTGCCCGATTTTAAATTGTATGAAGAATCGGCCAAATCGAATCGGCGTAGTGTGCGCACTCCCATACTGCCCATACTGATCAACTGCCCGACTAAACTATCGGCCGACGAAAAATCAACGGTGTGCGCCTACTCTTATCGTCAGGTCATTAATCTATCATGGATTTGGCTTGCAATCTTCTTATTAATGCCGTAAGAGAAATACACGAGTATATGTATAGTTTACCAACCCGTATGGCCTTTGTGGAGTGTAGATCATTTATAACCGTGATTAGTGAAAATAAATAATATCTTTTTCTGATGCGAATGAATAGTCAGCGCGCATAGAAATTGGAAATGTTTTATAGTACAGTCGCGGAATGAAAAGGTTCGTCACCTTAGTGTCGGTTTTTGCTTGCACTAGGTAGGTACTGTAAGAGTCAAACCTGCCAACATAACAGTGCAAGAAACAGTGCTGCTAACATTTAAATAAATATGACGTTTGCTAACGAATAAGGTTTTGCTTGTTTATTTTTCTATCCCATTAGTGCAATATTACAAAATGTAGTTTTTTTATTTAATAGATAATGGCAGGTTGAACCAACAAGAAGGTTTTAGTTTATCAATCATAATAATCTTCTTGACAAGTTGTTTGACACAACTTTGATGTGAATAATTTTGAACTTTACTGGCGAGCAGTTAAAGATTATTTTCTCTAACTCGAGATTATTCTGTAACATAGTTTCAAAAGGTAATATGTGCTCGCGATTCGTTGAAGGAATCAATTTGAAAACTGACGAACCTTTTCATTCCGTGACTGTACATTAATAAGTTCTACCAGGCCTGTTCATCTCCGCGAGTTTACATCGAAAACAAAACACGCACGATTGCCCCCTACAAGAGTACTATTCGACAAGGCCTCACATACGAGCGAACATTGACTCACGCACGCGTATTCTTGTGTATGATAGAAAAAAATAAAGAAAATGGTGTACTAAATACTGTGCAGTATTTAACTGCCTAAATAATAATAAAAACACAGAATGTACTTTTTTAAGTTGCCTCAAGACACTGAGAGGTAAATAAGTAGTTAATATTATTCATGATAATTCATGCTAAATCATGTATTTCCTCCGCCATTTTCTGCAGATTGGCACCTCACGTCAAATCATTTTACCGAAGTCAGCCCTATAGCTTCGGCGCAGTACCGATCACTGACGTTTGTCAACAAAACTTCTGACAAACTTGCTTGACTCTTGAGACAAGCTAAATTACACCATATTGTTAATGACATTGAGCATACATTTTTTTAAATACCTTCGCGAAGTAAAACTTCTGTACGTAGTACTTATTATTATTCTGTGGTTCTACTACAAGTGAGATTACAGGTTACTGTCCCTGTGTTCGCAACATTATATTACAATCAAGTGAAGGTTCATTCACACGTTATTGTTGTCAATTACTATGCCCGGATCTATCATCTGTACGCAATATCCATTTGGTCAATTTGAAGCAACACGTACGATAAGTCTCAGAAGAAGAAAGGTATAAAGCATGCAAAAGGATAAATAAGCCAATGCCATAATGGACATGATTATGTATTGTATGTGCGCAACAGGATGGCAGCAATCTCAATCTTACGAAATGGCTGTAACTAGATGTGCGTGATTTTATTTTCGCACCCCTGTGAACGATGAGACGAAATCTTACAGTCCATCGTGAATCAAGGTGCGGGCAAACAAGTTTAACTCTAAATAGATAAGTAATAAGTTACTAAGTTGTGTTGCTAGTACTTACCAATTTGGTGGAGCCCACGACGGGTTCCTTACTCTCCTCCGGTTCGGTGTCAGCGCCCTGCATACCGTTGGCTCGCGGGGACTCGAATGATTCGCCCATGCAGAACAATGACTGCAGATACAAACAAAAGATTTGTAAAGTCTGCAACACAATTTTGTTGCAAAATCACATTTATTACTAACTGCATAAGCTTCAAGTCTTTACCTAGATGTCGTCGTCCACACTTGTGCATGTTATCTTAACGTTGACAATGTTTATTTATGTGTATTTTAGTGCTCATCCCTTATCTAATCGCCATAATTATGTAATACCGCATTTTGTTATGATATGAGTGTAAATTGTTGTTATTTTTATTAAATAAAAGTACAGTGAGTAAAAAGTGAAATTAATTAATCTTTTTCAGCTTTCACCACGTTTTGTCATAATTGTTAAACTGATTTATTACGGCATGGGCAAAAGATTTATTTGTACGCATCATCTATTTGGTCATTCCGAAGCAACAGATATGGCCAGAGGAATTGTGCGCAAATTTCTCTCCGCACTCTGGGTACGATAAGACCAATAAGTAGTCTATCTATAGTAATTAGAGTGCCTTTAAGAGACGTATTGAATTTAATAAAAATACATTTATAGTGTATGTCGCGCAACAAAAGTTGAGCAAACACGTACTCATACCCGTGCTCACACTGATGTAATATTTGAATATAGAAAAAAACATAACATTACACAATCAAGTTTAAATATAGAATAGATTAGCTACCTCGCTCTTGTTAAATGCCTGCAAACGAGACAAAGCACTTGTCAATCTACGCGAAACGTCAGCGCAGACAGATACAAATCTTTGTTTGTGTGGATGACCTCAACGATTTGAGCGACCAATAACCGGTACTTTGAAGTCTTTGCGAACGGTTTTAATAGTTATTTATAAATATATTATTATAGGTAATAGTTTCACTTACAGCAGGCCTTTTGGTATTGCGGTCGATTCCGGTCATCCGTTCACCGAACTCGCGGTAGTCTTCGGCCATAGCCCCGGGGACAGACGCCACACAGAGTATATGCTTGTCGCTAACGGTGAACGACTCAAGCACGACAGCGGGGTTATTCGCATCGATTATCTGGTGACAGATGATAAATATTTCTATAATATTATTACTACTACAAATACAGACCAATATTCAAGCGTTATAAGCCCCTATAGAAGTTGGCAATCTTGTAAATAAGATACGCTTAAGGTTCAAATTCGAACACTTCAACACGCAGCAGCAGCAGTCGATGTGTCGTCGCAACACGATTGGTTTCTATAGTCTGGTCTGCGAGCACGTAGAATTTTGTCCAATGACCCCAAGCTAAATACGCGCGAGCGATAAGGATGGGTAGCTTGGGGTCATTGGACAAAATTTTACGTGCTCGCAGGCCGGGCTTTAGGTGTTTCTATGCAGTACAGAATATGGAATAATTAATCATAGAAAAGTGTTGCGAAGATACGTCATCTGCTGCTCCGTGGAGTCGATTACGAAATCATATCTTAGATTAAAATCTGCCAGAACAGAATTTCGCAGTTTCGCTGAGTATGAGTTAGGATGTCCTACTATGTCAGTATTTTTTAAAATAAAAAACAAGTTTAATGTTGATTAGGGATGGAGATAATTTGGTGTTAATATGATTAGGATTAGTAGGCTTGCAAGATTGTCAATTGTCTATAGTGCGAAACAGTATTTAAGAATATTTGTACGCAACATCTATTTGGTCAACTGATGTATCAGGTATGGCCAGAGGAAATTTGCGTAACTTACTCTCCGCACTTTGGGGACGATATACCAATAATAGTAATATCGTTTGTTAGAGTGCGTTCATGAAAATGGTATTAGATTTAAAGCATTACAAGTAATGACAAGTATAGTAAGCATTACAAGTAAGAGTAGAATACATTTGTCACCAACCACCAATATAACCAATATAAATTACCCAAAACAACTTCTAAAGTTCTAATGTACTAAAACCCGGTCTGTGAGCACGTAGAATTTTGTTCAATGACCCCAAGCTACCCATCCTTATCGCTCGCGCGTAATAATTATAATATGACTATGACTATGACTATTGCTGTCGCGACTGTACGACGGGCGCCCGCAGTGAGTGTGCGAGCGCGACAACAACATAATTACGCGCGAGCGATAAGGATGTGTAGCTTGGGGTCATTGGACAAAATTCTACGTGCTCGCAGACCAGACTATAGATCGGCATAGGTAAACATGAGATAAGTAAATTTATGTTTGCCATGTCCACAACTACTTTTAATACCTGGTAGTTGAAACATGAAATATCTGTCCTGAAGAAGATCACGACTAGTAGTTGTTATTGTAATTAACTGATAGATGATTGGTGTTATGTTAATAATTATATTAAATATTGTAAAATATCTGTTTACCATGACCACGCCCCTGGTCTGCGTGCACGAGCAAATCCATACTAATGATGAAAGATTCTTTTCAGTACGTTGGACACTTTGTGTAGACTGCAGTTGCTCATTAATTTCTTCAATCTCCGGTGAGTGGACGGTCGCCCTGCTCATCTCATACGCTATAACAAACATGGTGCCCACGTTAGCTGTGTGTGATTACATAATAAAGCAATATTAATGTGCAATATCTGAATGGAGTACTGTGATGGGAGTGTTTGCAGGTGTCATCAAGTTTTTTTTTTGCTATTTACAGATGCAAGCTCACGTAAAGGTATAGACTTTGAGTGTCACTCGACTGAAGTAGAGTCAAGAGTTCAAATAGTTGAGTTCGAATAAGAGTAGAGAGAATTTAAGGTAGCAATAAGGTCTTGCCATAGTTTAACAACACTGCAAATATGAGTGTTCTACATATTTTACTCATTGGCTCAAGGCATTGAAGCCTTGTACATTGATATTTTTGGATATCACTTAACAATACAGCTTCTACGGCATTTCATTATATTATACACACTAATTTTTGAGTAACGAACAAATTAAAGCAATTTTCCAAGAATTAAAGGTACATCTTACACTTTTTTTGATGAAGCAATTAAGTAAAGATTCGCCTAGAAAAGAGTAGGTCTGTGAAGATCCCCATAAATTCTGTGATGATGAGAACAGAGTGTACTGTGCACAAGTACAAAACACACCAACTTACTCTGGTCAATTTCATCCGATTGCGCTGTCGTATTGCTCACAGGGTCTTTCTGTGTCGGCAACTCACCCAAAGTCATGGTGTTTTCTGGTTTGTCATCGTAGAAGACGCTCTCTCCCACCATGCAGCCCCCGTCGGGGGTACAGCCTCCGGTGAGATTCACACCCGCCGCACAAAGAAGTGTCATGCGGGGTTCCATTTCCGCAAGCGGCCTGTCAAGAGACACCAAGCTGTAACTACTGATGGAGGTACGCGGAAGACGGCAAATAAGATACATGTTCTGTAGATGTAACAGATGCGATTTTGCAATAAATTGTCGGCCGTTTGGTGTAGTGGTTCGAAACGGACTACTATTCCGGAGGTAGCGGGTTCGATTCCCGCATAGTACAAACATTTGTGTGCATGAACATATTTGTTTGTATTGGACTGGGTGTTTTCTATGTATAAAAGTATGTATTTATAAAAAAAAAGTATTTAAGTATGTTTATATCCGTTGTCTAGTACCCATAGTACAAGCTTTGCTTAGTTTGGGAATTGAAGCGCAGTGTAAAATGTCTAAGGATATTTTTAAACTAGCGGCCGCTAGTTTTTAAATAAAATTATTTAAAAACTAGCGGCCGCCCGCGACTTCGTACGCGTGGATCCCGTTTTACCCCCTTCATCTATCTTACGCGGTTTAGATTTTTGCATACAAATGTATTTTCCCGCTAACTCCCCTTCCCGTGGGAATTTCTAAGTATACTATAACCTGCCCAGGAGTATGAAGAAAGAGTACCAAGTTTCGTTAGAATCCGTTGAGTAGTTTTTGTTTCTATAAGGAACATACAGACAGACCGACAGACAGACAGACAGACAAAAATTTTACTGATTGCATTTTTGGCATCAGTATCGATCACTAATCACCCCCTAATAGTTATTTTGAAAATATATTTCATGTACAGAATTGACCTCTTTACAGATTTATTATAAGTATAGACATGTAATAAAACATGTACCTATCACGATGAAATAAATCAGCATTATTCGAAGAGTAGGTAGATCAAAGGCAACTAGGTATTTTTTCACATTCTGAAAACGATAGCGTCTCAAATGGGGTAGCAGCTAGGGCATGTAAGTAATGGGGATGTTGCCTGGGTCAAAAAGCAAGAGTTTTAATTAGTCCGTCAGTTAACTTATCAAAAAATACTCTACACGTATTTTTCACTTTTTCAAACTAATGAAAATTTAAAGAGATAAAGCGCCCCAAAGTTCATAAGAAGAGGCCCGTGACGTCAACGCTTGCTTAAAAATGCCGCACGTTGTGACGTCGTGCGCAACTTCAACGCACCATAACTGTGTAATTATTTGTTAGATTGACAAATAAAAATATATGTGTCCAATATTTTTTGATATTAAACATTACGGACTAAAAAAATTTTTTTAGGCAACTAGCCTATTGGTTCAACACGGTGATATCACATATCCTCCAACAATGAACATATTTTGTTAACGTTCGTTTCGGAATATTTTAGTTGTATAGTTCTATAAAAAGCTATTGGGGTCCAGTCGATAAGTGGTAACTAACTTACGATATGTCCAACATTCTTCTTGAGATATAAGGCTGATGTTTAGCGATAGAATGTCTCATTAATAAAGAACTATCTGATATTTATTGATTTGCCAGTCAAGCACGGGTCATGCAGAAAGAGTAAGGTGAAGCTCGATTCCACCTTCGGCCTGATCGTCACTTACCATCAGGTGAGATACAGGCCAAAAGTTTCCTCGTTGTAGGTAAAAAAAAAAGAGAAACAGAAATGAGGACGTCTGAGTTACTCGAAAGTCCTAAGATGACAGGAGTGAGATCTTAATAATCTCAGATACCTTTTCTAAGTCCACTGATAGAACCGCCGAGGAAATAGTGACAGCATCGGAGTGACGACTCGGTATCCGAGGAATGCTAATTTGATCTTGGTTAAATCGCTGGATTGTTGTGGTGAATCCATTCCTATTTTCAAGCGTCAAATTTCAAGCGTCTAACTTAAGCGGTTTAGATTTTTCATACAAAAGGATATTCCCGCTAATTCCCGTTCCTGTGGCATACTCCTAAGTATACTATAACCTGCCCAGGAGTATTAAAATAATTGTACCAAGTTTTGTTAAAATCCTTCGAGTATTTTTTGTTTCTATAAGGAACATACAGACAGACAAAAATTTTACTGATTGCATTTTTGGCATTCACTAATAATCACCCCCTGATAGTTATTTTGAAAACATATTTCATGTACAGAATTGACCTCTCTACCTCTCTCTACAGATTTATTATAAGTATAGATAGTCTAACACCCAGACTGGTCACAGAAATTAAAATGCATCATTTCAATTTCTGCCCGGCCGAGAATCGAACCCGGGACCTCTCGGCATAGTAGTCCGTTTTGAACCACTACACCAAACGGCAGACGAATACATACCCATGCCCATGACAATTAACACATTTTATTTTATTTTTTTCAATACAATAATAATTGATGTGTCCACGTGGGAATGTGTCTGATTGAAAATGTGTCCCGTTGAAATTGTGTCTCGTTGGAACCAAATCGCGCCAACGTGTGGTAGATAGAGCCCAGGTTACAAATATTCTGTTTAAGTCCTTACTCTTACGAACCTTACGTCCTTACTCTTACGAACTCTTACGAACCAACAAGTAAACTAAACTTTTTAACCTTCCCTCTTCAAGTATTTATTTTTATTTTCGTAGATACAAACTTGCCGATAGCCGATAATAACCTTCCCCTAAAATTAAATAACATCATTATTTTATCAGGTTGTTAACTAGTTCATCACCATTTCGGCACTCTTAAAACAATTGGTTGTCCTCAATAACTCGTTCCCCTTTTTCTTTTTGGTAAACCCCAGAGGCGTCTGATCATCAAGTCTAATCAGTAACTTACCTGCAGAACACAGGCACTGGAACCGGCACTCCGCAGGTCGAAAGGGACGTGCAAGGGCTGGGTTTCTGACCCTTGACTGGTAGACTCCACCCGTAAGCCTGGAGACGTCCATCTTCTTTCTTCACATGCGCTCGCACCTACGAATACCACCAGTTCACGTAGGACCATTCTTAATGCTTATCACTATGCAACTTAAGGACTCTAGGATTTTATAGAAGTTCATTTTGGCTATAGAATAACAACAGTTTCTGCTGTATTGGTCATTTGAATAAGATAGTAGGGGAATAAAAATTATTTTTCAAATAAACTAATTCACTTGATTCTTGGCAGACACAAGTTCAAAATCCAATTGCTGTGGTTCTCTTTTCACCTATGGAGGATTTCATAATGCTTTTGAGAGGGTAAGGTGAGTAAGCTAGCCACGTTTGATTCCTTCATTTGTTAAGACTATGAATTCCATTCATTTCCTTGCTAATACACTGGTCATCACAAAAATCGGCCCACCTGCGTTTTACAGGAAAACTCGTTTCTACTGACACAATCATGGTGCCCCAAAAATATTGGTGTTATTTGAAAGCCCAATAAATATCCTTAAAGAAAAACGCATTTAATTTCCTAATAAACGATTAACATGTACAATAAATGTGACTTGAAAAACTTGAAAAAAGACCTGACTTTGGGCTCACCTCTGGGATCAATTAGACCAATTTTTATGGTTATAAAACCAAATAATGATCTCACGTGTCCTCTTTAACAGATGGATAGCGATTAATCCCAACTTAACAGTTTTATAGCCATAAAAGTTGGCTCAAGCGTAACTACCTATTTTTTGAAGAAGTGACTCTGGATTCTTCTACGGACACATTTTTGGGGTAAAAACCTTTCCTTTAATGAAATGAAGTTTAGAACTAGGCTTTTAAATGGTAATATAGTATAGTAATATTGGTGGGAAGTGGGGATGCATACGTTTGAAAGTGCTTGTCGCGGGTAGGTCGATTTTTATGATGACCAGTGTAGTATAATAAAGAGTATCTTCTATGGGCCTCATAAGGTTCAAGGTCAACCAAAGGGCGATAAAGCGTGCTATGGTCGGAATTTCCTTACGGAATCATAAGATATAAGGCGTCTCACATAGTTCCTTGTAGGAGAAACATAGTAAAAGACAGCTGTGAGTGGGCAGTCACATTATCACATGTTAACAGACCTCCCACTCGACGGATCGATGACCCAGAAGGTATAGACGGGAAACACCTGGATGCGACCAGCGCGGGGCCGGTCGTTGTGAAAACCCTTATGGAAGGCCTTTATCAAGCAGTTGACGGCATTTGGTAACGACTTGCTAATTAATCTAAGGCTATACTCGAATAGGCTACTACAAAATCAAGCTCTTATGATTCTCCAACGGGGGAGTGCAGTGTGGTTAACGTACGCAGTAGCGACGATGAATGGGTGTTACTCATACATCAATCTAGAAAACTTCATAAGTTTGTATCATTTTAACATTTTAAACTTGCCTACAACTTGCATTTTTCACAATAAAATTTTGCAACAAAACATAATAAATAATTTGTCTTTCTTTATTCTCAATGTAGCTTGAGGTATGACCATTTAAATCAGTACAAGCAGAGTTGAGTTCCCACCATTGCGACATCTTTTAGCCAGAGTCAGATTGGCCATAAAAGAAACCCAACCAGTGAAGGTTGTTTAGTCCCGAGGGATACCCGATTGTCGTAGAATCCAGTACATATTTTGAACTGCATCGTGACTACATGCTCCTCTAAGACCTAGGTGTATCATGTACACACGCCCACACTGTTAACTATCCATTTCCATTTTTGCTCTCGCTCTAATCAAATGGCGATTCTTTGCGATAGAACGAGATGACATGACTTTCAATGGGCAGTTAACACTGTTGGCGATAGTACATTAAAAGCTTCGTTTAAAGAGCTATTCATCGTCAGGTCATAAAGCAGTCTATTATACAATTATTTTGATAATCATGGTTATTCTGGGTTAGTGATATTACCTTGGTTTTCCCATAATTAGTTATGTTAGAACTGTGTTGAATATACATACATTATCATTAAACTTGAGTTCCAATATATTACAAAATCAGAACATTCAAAGCATATACAAGTCTCTAGAAATTTACAATTTACGGTATTTGCAAATAAAAAAGGGAATAAACATGCACTTGAAGTAAAATTATAGCGAATTTTATCTAAGCCTCTGACACACAGGGAAATGGCCGCAGACAGTGCAAAATTTACATTACGGTTTGACAGAGCTGTCAAATGCTGTCAAAATAGTGAAATCAGTACATCGCAACCTAGCTCCACTGCATCCATGCCTCTATATGCCACAGGCTTTTTAACATTAAAGGACAAACACAAAACAAAAAGCTTCATATATAAAATAGTTTTATTCACATAACGTCACAAACAATAGAGCGATAAAATAAAATAATATTATTTGATTACTCAATAAATATCTATCTAACATTACTATACAAGCCTATTTCATAATATCACTTATAACGTCACAGTTATTTCACATTAATATCACTGTTCAAAGAACTTGTACTAAATTGATTACTATTTTCTTTTGGGAGACGTCACTCATTCAACTGAAAACAAAGAATGGGACAGGAATTAGGTGGGGGGCGAGGATAATAAACACACAAACAACAGAGGAACCACAGCACACACAAAATAAGCATGAAAGGATGGGAAAGCTTAATGCGGATAATGTTTAAATACATAAAGAAAACTCAAGTTGCAGTAGATACTTGTATATACTTTTAGAATGTACCAATATATTACGTGGCGACCGATCTGTGGATCGCCGCAAATAACAATAATCAATGTGTGCAATCTTAAAGGTCTTAAATTTAGTGATGAACCTAAGTATACCCTCTACTAATTGTACTATGAAAAAAGCTGATAATAGCGGTACTTTCTAATTTATAGTCATGATACTGGAACGTTGGTTAGAAAGCGTATATGCGTATTATAAATGTCATTAACTACTTAGTACTTATTAGTTAATACAGGAACTTTATTTTTAGTAAGCAGTTTCAAAAATGAATCATTCGATTAGTGGGCATGTGTGTTATTTACAGTCACCCGTATTTTACTTGGAAGCTTTGCCTAGATACATGAAATCTAGGATAACGAATCATAGTATAAATCTACATTAGTTAACAAACCACCGAAAGGCACGAAAGGCATATTATACATAATTAGCATATTTAATTGCCGTAGAATAGACAGAAAAACCACACCGAAAGAGGAGTAGTATAGTGTAAATGCCCAACTATTTATAACGAGTAGCTAAACATGTGTTCAACTATAGCCCAAGATCCAAAACGAATAACAAAGCTTGACTCGTATATTGTCGAGGTTTGAACGAGATCTGTACATAGGACCGTAATTCTGAATTACACGCGTGATTCTGAGTAAAGCTGTGTAGGTAAACTATTTTCTAATGCTTGTGGTTAACTTGTCCTTTTTCGCTCATGTACCCCAAAGTGTAGGTTAAGCATAAGTTAGTAAGTTTTGGTCATAACTTGTTATTCGCAGTGGATCTTGCACCAAGTCAAGCACGACCAAGTGCTTGGTTTCCATTTCTAGATCATAAAAAGGTATCTGAATGATAAGACGCGTACGCACGCGCGAGTAGTCATTCGTAAACCATTCATCTTATAGGCTTAGAAAAGAAAACTCATTTGACTAAAGCCTGGTCCGTGAGCACGTAGAATTTTGTCCAATGACCCCAAGCTACCCATCCTTATCGCTCGCGCGTAATTATATTGCTGTCGCGACTGTGTGACGGGCGCCCGCAGTGAGTGTGCGAGCGCGACAGCAACATAATTACGCGCGAGCGATAAGGATGGGTAGCTTGGGGTCATTGGACAAAATTCTACGTGCTCACGGACCAGGCTTTGGTACTGACCTGTCGAAATTGCTCGGTCCTCTCGTGCCTTCGATGATGGTGGTCAGAGAGCTGCGTCTCGATGAAGTCCGCTTGGGTTCTGGAGTGGCGCATGGCAGGTTGGGGCGCCGCCACCGCGCGGAGGTGTGGTGTAGACAAGGGCCGCTGGGGCCGCTCGCCCGTACTGATGACAATGAGAGGCTCTTTATACGGCTAACGCTCTTATATTTATTACGGACTACGCTGAAACTTGCGCGACGTGCATCCACCGAAAGTATAAGATTCGCAGCGGGCACCTGCCGTGTGCACCCGCCTATTATTGCACGACCGTTGAAAACTCGTACGCGTCATACTACTTTTCGAAACACACGCATAAGGGCGCCGCGCGAGTTTTAACATAGGCCTTTAGAACATCATTTCTATTTAGACTAGTGATTTAGCAGGTTTTGGTTTTTAATCAGTCTCGCATAAGCCATTTTAAATTAATACAACCGCAATGCAACATCGCTCTAATCTGTACTATACTTATGGAGGCAAAAATGTGTATTGATTGATCTATAATAACTTATTTGATGAGTGGATTTCATCCACGAAAAATAAGTTCCTATTTTCTAATATTATTTTCACGCATCCCTATGGTGACACGGTCTACGTGATCGCTGCCATTGAAAAAGGAAGAAGCAACTCCATAAAATCATTTCGATAAATCTTAGAAAATAATGCACCCGCTTAAAATTGCTAACAAGGTGGAATAATTAATCACTCTTTATCAATTCATTGAATTTAGTAATTACTCTTTATCAATTCATTGAATTTAGTGTAAGTATTAAAGTACTAATGTGACTTGATAAAAAGTGTAATCACTTCCAGATACAAGATAAGGAGATTACATGTAATGCAATTCTCAAATCATTGCTTGTTAACATTAAAGTTTTGATAACCATAATGTAAAGGTGGGCATGATTTTGTCAGAGCAAACTTATTTGTCTTATGTCGTGTATGACCGCTGATTCTGACCTATGCAAAAATGTTTTATTCGCAAAAACAAAACCAATGTATACGAACTTGATAAACCCTTGAGAAAACTTACATAAAAATCAGCATTTCATTCGTATGCCTCTTGAGTTAAACATGACGTATGTGCGTTCATTATTATTGAGAATATGTGCATGAAAATAGAGGAAACACTAGCAGGAAAATGTGAACAAGTAGCAGGGTAGTTCCGGTCTGTAAACATGCTATATAGGCCAATAGAATTAAACATGAAAATAATCAAATCGGAAGCAATTCCTACCTAATTTTAATGGCTTCATTTGTTGCCCATTAAGATTATCCTAGATTTTCGACTTTGACGGAGTTGTGCTTAAGTGGTAGGGGCATATTTGCGGTTTTACGGTTATACCACGTAAACGACTTACAGTATCGAAAACTGATGTTCCTGAGATTAGCGCGTTGAAACTAACAAACAAAAAAACACTTCAGCGTTTTAATATGAACCTGTTGTTGTTGATTTTTGGAGACGGACCTGCCCACGACCTGGCATACCGGCTAGGAAACGCGACTGCGTTGCACGACTGTGCAGGAGGATACAAGGAAGAGGGGCAGCCATAGTGGATAACAGAGTCGTTCAAGAGAGTGCAACGAAGAGGTGCAGCAACCGTAGTTAGGGATCGGCTAGGACGAACAAGGATAAGCAAATGCAACTCGCGAGCCTTGACAGGCAGGGATACGCTGGTTAAGGCGGCCCTTTACAAGGCTTGGGAGCCTGCGGGTGACGAGCCATTGGACATAGAGAGGGTCATTAATTATGCGTACATTTTCTACTTTGTCGAAGATAAACACGAAAACGGTTGGTCCAAAACATATGAATTTGGTCTTATTCAATGCAGGATTAAACGCCCTTCAACCGTCATGAAGCTTAGTTTTCAATCAGTAAGTCCTTTACGCGGTAAAATCGCAAAAAGGGCCCTTTCGGGGGGCCTCACCAGTTAAGCACAACTCCACCGAAGTCTAAAACTTAGGATAGTTTTAATGGGCATCAAATAAAGTCATTAAAACAATAAAACCTTTTGTATCTAATTCTACTGACCTAATAGCACTTCAACCTGACCTTACGCTATAGAGCCTCGATCTGACGCTACGCTATAGCACTAATCTGTCATGTAGCGAACTAATCGAAAGTCAATTCAATTCAAAAGTCAACATTTATATGAAAAAATAAGTAGTAAAGTGTAGTAAAGTGCATCGATTATTAGGATTTTTCTATTTTTTTCCGGCAGAGTAGTTCAGTATTCATTAATTTATTTTCATCAGTCCACTGCTGGAAATAAGCTTCTCCCAATACGCGCCTTTTTAAACTGTATTTCGCTTTTTACATCCAACTTCAGCCTTTCGCAATTTATAGCACATAATATAAAGCCAATTCGAAATGCAAGCAAAATATATTTTGGCCTTTCGCTTGAGAAATCAAAACAACTTTGGAGTCTAAACATTTTTTATAGGATTCGAACCCATTAATATTTTATTTAAGCGCCGTATTATTGTGCAAAAAAGTTACATTATTGCTATAGTCAACATCAGCATTTTTGAAATGCCTCGTCCGAATTCGCAAGAACCATTTATGCAAAATTATTAATTTATTGTACCACGCTCAGCTACTATTTAACTATGTATTACTGCAGAATGCAAAAATTACAATAAATAATTCAAAAGTTATTCAAAATAAACAAAATCAAAAACGAATAATTATATAAATCCGCTCAGCATTAATAAAATTAATTATTATTACGCAAGTGACACATGCTTAGCATACCTGAAAAGGTTGCTAAAAAACTTCCAAATACTCTGCTTGTTCTTTTTGTCCATGGTAGAGTCGACTCTACTGGCTCGCACCATTTCAGTCCAGCGGACGGCATCTTGTAGCTCTATCAGACGTTCCTGAAATCACAAAATTATACATTTGTTACGTACTAGCTGTGCCCGCTGCTTTGTACGCATGAAAACCCGTTTTCGCAACATTTTTCATTATTGCTCTGCTCGTATTGATCGTAGCGTGATGTTGTATAGCCTAGCCTTCCTGGATAAATGGTCTAACACTGAAAGAATTTTTCAAATCGGACCAGTAGTTCCGGAGATTAGCGCGTTCAAGTAAACAAACAAGCAAACAAACTCTTCAGCTTTATAATATTAGTATAGATTTATTACTATAATTAATGTGCGAGGGGGTTTGCCGCGAAGATCGGCTACGTAAGCGATCTTCGGGCGCACAGCACCGCCAAGACAGGAGTCGAAGTGGTCGCCATGCCCAAAATTAATCAGATGTATCATCATCATGACGTAGGACTTGACATTCCAGTTAAAGGTCAGCTGCTACCATCACATCCTAAATCACCCTATAATAGATGTCCCTTAAATAACTATGTATAAACAATAAACTGTAAATAACAGCAATAAAGGAACTTATTACTTGTTTAGTGTGTAAAATATGTTGCTTACATAACTTCGGTGAGACGACATAAATCCAAGCAGGATGGTAAACCATGATCTGACCAAGCGCCGAAATTTGACAATCAATCTTTCTCAATCAATATTCAATCCAAGATTTCCATCATTACGATTTGAAATGCAGATTATGTCATGACTTAAGGTCCTATGTCCCCTAGATGGGGCAGAGGGCGTCCACAACAGTCCTCCATCGCGTTCGGTCTTGAGCTTCGCGCTTGATCTCGCTCCAGGTGATGATGATTTATGATTATGTCATAGGCAAGCATAATTTATGTGGACATATATAAATAATACCTAACACCAAAATATATATAATCTTTAAATAAATATGAATACATAAATATTTATTATTTATAATATAAAATAGAAAAACTTTTAAAAATTGTTGTACAATCGTGCAATAAGAGATTGCAGCATTTGAATGATCCTCTTAATTTGGAACAACAAAGCGTACAGCAAGAAACGCTTTGACAAAAGCCCCGCGTTGATCCGAGCGTTGGTTGGAGAAATCTCATTTCCTTCAGAATCCGAGTGGTTAGTGGAAAATATTTTCTGGATTTTGGCCAGCTTTTGATCGAGATCTTTCAGTTTCCATCCATAGCGGCGGTTCTCAATAATAACCAGGAACAGGAGAAACACTCTCAAGAACATCAGCTTGCGAACCGGTGTAATAGTAAACGGCATCTTGTATTCACGAAAGAACGTCAATCGCACAACACAACCTACTACCTACGAAATATAAAAACAACTGAGCCGTTTGCGCTGAAATTACTTACTTTTATACGACACCAATTTTGAATTATGTAAAATAAAATCTGATCTGAATACTGCAATAACTATTTTCGTATGCTGGCCTTACATAGCAGCGATGAACTTGCAAGATAGCATCTATTCACACTAGCGATAGGTTTATACTTACTAAGTAGCTCCTACTATTATTTAGAAAACATTATTTTTCCAAACAATAAAGCCTATTTTGTATATATTCTTGAACGCTAGATCTTATCATCTCTTTGACTGAGCGGAAGATCTCAATTACGTCACAAATTCAAATAAGCCGTTACGTTTTACAATAAACTCTTGCACACTTAAATAATTGAAAATATATTAATCTATCTAGTTCAAATTAAGAAAAAAATAAGATCTTACGTTAATTTCAGCCGAAATATGTTCAATTTGTTATGAGAAATCAATAATAAGACGATAATTGATATGAAAGATTCTGTTCACACAAGGCGCATTTTTGTACCAAGTAAAAGACAATGCCGGATATTGGCGTCTTTTTTTTTCGCGCGGCCATCGACCAAACTTTGTTTTTTGATTACAAAATAGTGTAATAAACCAAACTTACTATGACATGTATACCTCTAAACTCAGTCTGAACTGAGTTACGAGCATTAGAAGTTTGATGATTTTCATACTAGATTTGCTTTTTGCGCGCAAAGTTTTGTAAGAAATAAGTACCTAGAAACTTGGAAAATCACAAAACGTTAGTCACCTTATATTGGTTTCTCTCCATCAACACACGAGCCATCTCGACCCGCGTGAACCTTCTACGCTGAGCCATGGGCACGTCAGCTTCATCCTCATTTTCACCGCCGCCTGCGTTGTTGCTCACTGTTTCCTGATAAAAACAAACATAAATGCTTTACCAACAATAAAGATGATCAATTATTATTAAAATACAATTAATAAATCACATAAATATTAGTGTTTGTCTACTGCAAGAATAATTGGGCACGTATTACGTACGGTTACGTACGCCTAATCTATGAAGATCGCTGCATCGACGCTGACCCAGTTTACCCAAATCAACATTGCAACTGCACTATGGACCGCGAGGAGCAGCATCAGCAAAATGCGCCTCTCATGACGACAGCGGCGACGTTTCATTAATTTTACTAATTATTTTATAATCATATTCGTTTCATACTTCGAGACGGTATCACTAGGCTAGGCTAGGTGCGTTTACGGTCAAATACCTGCCTTGTTATGCATAACTAAAAAAAATACAAAAATAATCATACTAAATAAATAAAAAACACACAAGACACGGCAGTCTTCACAGAACGTCTGATCGCTATGTCTTCTAACTATTAAATGAGTACTTCGTGCAGAAAATCAAAGCATTTGTAAATACATTGCTAAAGAGCTTAATAAGAATTGGACATGTTAATGTTTGGTTTTACTTGGAAATATCAGATGAATGGAAAAATATTCAAACTGAATTATGTATGTGTTTTCAGCAGAATCAAATTATATAGGTACATAGATTGAGACTTGTCTCGAATGAAACTGAATTTTTCATTATGTAGGTGCATAAACAACCCAAGATGGCGCTGGAATAAAACGTAGGTGTAGGTCGCAGTTTAGAATGTAGAGTCAACAGCACATTATACGAGGGCGGCACTGAAAATTTCGGGAATCAAGGAAGTGAAACAACATTACTATTTAAAAATGTATTTATTGCTTTTTAAAGTATTCTCCGCGAAATTTGACACATTTTTCCATACACGAAACCAATCATTGAAGCAACCATTGCATTCGGAAGTTTGGGTCTCCAAAATGGCCGTTTTGTAGGCTTCCACAGCTTCTTCAGGTGATGAAAATCTCTGACCACGCAATTTATTCTTTATTTTAGGGAAAGTATAGAAATCATTAGGGCTTAGGTCAGGGCTGTACGGCGGATGGACTAATAATTCTATGTTTTCTTGCTCTAAAAACTCTTTTGTTCAGTGCGCGGTGTGAGAACTCGCATTGTCGTGATGGAGGATGATGCGGCGGTTGCAGTTCTCTTTACGGAGTTCAGAAACGACCTGTGGCAAACAAATGCTAGCATACTAATCTGCATTAACCGTTCTTTGTCCCCCAAGAGGAATAGTCGCAACATGGCCGGTTTTGGAGACAAACGTGGCCACCATTTTTTTTGCAACACTCCGTGAACGAACAATTTTTGTTGGCTTTAATTCATTTTCGAACACCCAAACTCGTGACTGGTTTTTTGTTTCGGGTTCGTACGCGTATATCCATGATTCGTCACCTGATACGATGTTGTATACAGCATTTGAGGATCCTGCATGTAATCTCCCGAGAGTTCTGACGCACCAAGTAACGCGAGCCGCTTTTTGCTCTTCACAGAGCGAATGCGGTATCCATCGGGAAAACAACTTTTTTACACCTAATTGTTCATGCAAGATTATTTGTATTTGACTCATGCCAATGTCTAAAGTTGCCTGAATTTCGCGGTATATCACATGTCGATCTTCTTCAATCAGCTTACGCACAGCATCAACGTTTTCTTAGGTGACTGCAGTTTTTGGACGACCTTGACGGGGATCATCACTGAGCTTGACACGTCCACGTTGAAATTCAGGAAACCAGCGATAAATTGTGGTTTTGGATGGGGCTTCATTACCAAATGCAGAAATCATCCGGTCAACACACTGTTTTTGTGTTAAACCACTCCGAAAGTCATAATAAATCATCGCTCTTGAATTTTCTCGAGTCAATTCCATTTTCTCAACGACTAAACAAGTTTGACTAGACCTTGTGATACGACCGAGAATCTTTTTTTAAATAAATAAATGGTATACGATTTTTAAAACCCTGGAGTTTGCAATTAAATAGATTTTAATATGACTGGAACAGTGGAAATATTCCATTCCCGATACTTTTAGTGCAGCCCTCGTATAATTATATTGCAAAAGCTTCTATATATTTTTTAAATTATGCGTTTTATTTAGATACAAGTACCAAGTCATGGATACTATTGGACAACACTACTGGGTTTTATTGGCGGTCAAGCTGTAGATCCTGGCTACACAGTAGGTACAGTAGTGGGAATAGTGCCGTTGAAAAATATAGCTTCAGTCAAATCACGACATAGTGTGGTTACAGTTCGCTTGCTCGTTGGCTCATTTCAGCCAAATGACTTCCAATGCCGGACATAGGCCTCTCCCAAGGATTTCCATATCGACCGGTCCTGCGCTGCCCACATCCAGGTTCTTCCAGCGACCTTCACCTGATCGTCGGTCCACCTAGTGGGGGCCTGCCCACACTACGTCTTTCGGCCCATGACAGGCCGGAAGTGAACAGTATCTTAAGAAAACTGATGCCCTTACCTTCAAATGTCTTAACTCTTCCTCCAGCTGTGACACTCTCTCCCTTAGTTTTTCTCGGGCCGCGCTCAAACTTGCCACCTCTTCTCTCAATATTTCTTGCTCAGCGGTCAATTCATCCACTTTAACTATAAGATCGTCTTTGACTACATTTAACGCGTTCCTGTAAAAAGAATTTAATATTATTTCTTGAGTATAAAAGGCACAGACAAGCAAAGAAGAGAGTATAAAAGTATTATAGATTTGTGCATTACAAATTACTAATAATATTTTTAAAAAAGAGAGGGAGAGACTAGAGTAAATTCAAACTCTTTATTGCACATTAATGGTTTCACAGGTTTATTCTTTACAAAAGGCCAGAATGATAAAATAACTTGTAATCTAAGCACGTGTTTATGGGAAAACGTAAAATTTTGACTTACTTGGTTGCGAGCAGCTCGTTGTTCTCCAGAATGAGATTTTCGACCTCTTTTCCCATGCCTACATCAAATAACGATACATCAGGAAACATAATAAAATATAACTTATCAAAAACATGCAGAAAACTATAAAGAATAATAGGTACACCAACACCACGTCTCTAAAATAAAATTTATTACATAAATGTTCAATAATTAAACAAATACTTATTATGACCAACTTTTATACTTATTAACAACGATATTTAATAAAATAAAATATGTACATAACATTTATTGAAGAACCTATCATACAGAACCAAAATAAGTCGAATTTTTTGAAATAATAGTTTAGTTCAGCGTGTATTTTACAAATAAATCAATAATACGAAATAAATAAGTCTCTCTTGATATTCAAAAATTTAGATTGACATTTTCATGCTACGATTACCTAAACTTAAACGACGTTTAATTTCTAGATAGTCTTTTTATTTTGATTCCGTACTTTAATAATAAACATACTTCATGCCTATAGATTACTTACCAAAGTAGTTATCATTAACTGCATTACGGTGTGGCGACAATTTGTTAGACGCATGGAAACAGAACGAACACAATATTAGTATTGTACAGTGGGCTACTGATTGTTAAAACACAGATCTATCAAACTAAGAAAAGGGGCTAGCCGGCTTCTATATCATATCAATATAGTGAGTAGCAAATATTTAACGTTTTTGCAATCAGTACCTAGTTTAAGAACGTAAGCTGTGTGAATAAAGAGCTATTTTAATAATGCATGCCACATAACCGTTTCATTCAATTGATTTTATCGAAATCGGAGTGTAATCATCATCCAACCAGTTTTCTCCATCTATTCCACAGACCTTTCAAGACTAACAATATTTTATCATAGCAGGTTAGTGGCACTAAAATATAAATGCTTTCAAGTACATAATATATCATGCAACATTCAATGGTGCTATTTAGATACATTTATATGCAAAAATATCAATGTTAGGATTTAATGTTATTAATATTATGTAGTTACATAAATGGCAATCATACTGAATACTGACAATTGTAATATGTTATAAGAAATTGGTATATTTTACATTTATGGTTACATAAGGTAATTTAATCTAAAGATAAAGTCACTACAACTTACCGGAGGAAGCATATTCGCCGGGATGCACCCAACTCCCTGTGAGAGAAAGATGAATACACAATTAAGAAACAAACCACAAGTGTATAAAAATATTCAGATCAAATCATGACGTTGGGGAATAATATTTGAATTTCTAACGCGTCCGTGATTTCGATACAAAGGTGACCGTCAAATGGTAACCTTATTTGCACTTTTATTTGTGGGAATTTTCCTATCCACCTTCGGGCCATTCGCAGGAAAATACCAAATTATTAACTTGTCAAAACTTAGACCCAAATAATTCATTTTTTAAATATTACACACGCGCATAACGGCTATTCAGCAAGCACATCTGTAGGTCTGTGAAAAGACTGTAGAAAGGACTGGCGATTCAGTTATTTTGACACCCTACAATTCGACATAAAAAGGGGTTTTACTAAAAACTAAGGGTGTGCGTAAGCTGATAATTATGATAGACCCCGAAACTACGCAAACGACTCCAAAAAATGTCCATGCTTATTTGTAGTACTGCTGTCAGTAGTACCTGACTCTCAGTCTCAGCTTACGCGCACCTAGGGCCCGGTTTCTACCAAAGCGGAGCGGTGACGAGACAAGAGGAGATATGTTTTAAATATTAACCAGAATTCTGAACCGTAGTTGAGCAGAGAGGAGATGTGGCAATGGTTGGTTAGATTGGTTATTCAAAACACATCTCCTTTCGTCTCTTTGGTGGAAACCGGGCCTAAATGTGTCAGCCGTTACCTGTGATGTCAGCTCCATCGTCGCCTTCGGTAATGTTCTCGGTGTCATGGAAGGCCAGCTCCTGGTACAAAGTGTTGGCACTGCGTTTTTCACTTTTAGTTTGCGATTTGCCCGCGTTCGCATTTTGCGGTGTGACAGGAGAGGTTGCCTGGAATAAACAATAATGCATAATGTATTTACGTTTAATATTAATAGTATGTTTCCTGAAAATGTACACATTACATTGAGCAATTGCTTTTATGGTAAACCTACCTACAAAAGTTTATAGGCATTCGTTACTATTACAGACGTCACAAATAAAGCAATTTAGTATCAAAGTCTCTCGAGGACTTGAATAAAACAAAGATTCCATTTTTATTGCTATTGCCTAAATACGGTCTGCTATAAAAGGATAGTAAGTTTAACAACGACCATTGAGTTAGGTAATGGGATTAATTGAATTATAAGTAGTATATACGAAGCATAACACACCTAGAAACTAGAAGCAGAAATTGATAAAGCATTCACTGTAGGAGATTAAATTAAACAAGACAATAGAACGTCGAAATAATTATTAACCCTTCATTTGGCAAGACACAAATTGTTTGATTTTTTCAATAAAATCTATTTAGACCTAATTGTTACTATCAAATAAAGTTAAGAAAAATAATAAAAAAAATATTTGGTTGGTATTTTCGCGAAAAACGATTGTTGCTTATTTACCGCATTGCCAAATAGGGGTACTTAAATAAAACATTGAGATATATTATAGAATTAATTTTTTTATATGAAAATCTTAAAAAAATCAATCGTATTTCACATTTTATGCATTAAACTTTTTTTTGGCCATTTTCGCAAAGTCGATTAATGACCCTTTTCTCCAACATTTGATAGATGACGTATGTCATCATACTTCACGATCAATATGCCGAGCCAAGGTTGGCTTTTTATTTTCTCTTTAGCTTCTGAAACTGGTATGTTGTCGTTATCTGCTATAGTTGTTGACTTCAACGCAAGAAAAATGTGTTTATCATTTAAATCAGTTCAGCAGTATAAGTGTGAAGACAAACAACACAGAGACAGACAGCAAATTCTTTCTCTCTCCTANCTTTTGTATTAACAAAAAGCTAAACCTATTTTGTTAGATGTTTGGCACTGTTGCTTCTAGGCAACATTGAGGTTCGGAAGCATGTCATGTATTAGAAAACACAATTTCTACGCCAAATATTGCTTTATATGATTAGTTTGATTTATTATGAATTAAATTTAGACAAAACAAAAATAATTAGGGATGATAAAATAGTACAAAATCATAAAACTTCCGTCTTTGTTATTCTCATTGCGCGTCATCTTGGCGTCTGACAGAAATATGGATATGAAATCACTCAAAACTCAGTCGACGACCGATTTACTAGTGTTTTGCTGAACTAAGCTTTGTAACAAAATCGAATGATTTGCACAAAACTTATTATTTGGTGGTGTAGAAATATTCAAAGTGGTTGTTGCTTAAAAGCATCACTGCCAAATGAAGGGTTAATATAATAGTACTTGAATCATAAAATGATAAAAAACCTATTTTCATTTTTTAGTTTCCTTCATGAATAGAATGTCAGTCAACTGACACCTTGTCACGGTTTGTCGTATATGTCAATCGGCGATCATAAAAATGCAATGTAGCGTGTTAGCTATTGTTATATTTTTACTAGCGTGGACAGGAGTGGAATGTTTGAAGTGCTACCAGTGCTCGTCTGTGACCGATCGGGGTTGTTTTAATTACGATCTTGATGCTAAGCATTTAAAGGAGTGCGACAGGGCTCGCCAATCAGCTGAGCCCGTATGCCGTATCCTGTCGCAGCTCCAGTTCTTCAAGCCTGAGCAGGACGTGACGGTAATTAGGGAGTGTGCGTATATCTACACGCGACCGCTGGGATGCGTACAGTCGAAATTCAGCAATATCCACTACTCTTTATCATGCGAATGCGAAGAGGACGGTTGCAACAGAACAAGCAGTCGCGCGCGAAGTAGCATAACGATGCTTATCGCCTGCCTCCTAAACAGCATGTGGATTTACCGCAATAACATGTACAGTTTAAGTAATTAGTTGTAATTGTAACTTTAAATATATTGTATGAAGTACGATTATATTTTACTGATAATTTTGACCACCTTTTCTTAATGAAATAATCGTTAGTAGTTTTATCTTGCTAAACTGATGAAAACAACGTTATCTAGGTAAACATTTTTGTCGACAGTGAGGTCACGTGTAAGATGACACACAGGAAGCCAAGCAAATGGTGCCGATAAACTTATTACTACGAGCGCTAAAACAATCGATTTTATAACATGCACTCGATTAACTGCTGTCTTATTATTTATAGATGCGTCGAGTCGCTCGCGGGAAACAGGCAATACATTTTCCCTAATGAAGTAACGAAGGGAAACCTAAATTAAACTATTATTAGATGCTTCATAGTAACAACGGCCGATGCTTGGACGAACACTAATTGGCTACAATACATATCATGTTAGCTGTCGTTAAGTGGATCATGAAAAATTACATTACACTCTAAATGAATATATTATTTATTAACATTATTTAGCATTAATACAAACACATCGTATTTTTCCTCCATTTACTTTTACTTTATTAATTTCCTAAAATCATAAAAAAATATGAATGAGCCAGAGTTAAGCAAACGTTAAGTTTGCATGAAATCCTTGAAACGTATACAGCCTTGGCCAAAAGTATTGAGCACCCCGTAAATACTGATTATACATGATAACTATAAAATTAACTCAAAGATATTTGATAAAAACCTTTCTTTGATAGGTTTCGAAACATAAACTCACGTCTCAACGTGCAATAAAACACGTTTCGAGATGTTTAGCTATGATATTGTAGTATTGTTAGTCTTTGAAAAATCACAAAAAAACTTCTTCTGACCTCGCTGCTGAGTTATCAGCTGAAATTAATACGCCAATTTCTGCAAGAACAACTCGCAGAAGACTCCAAGAATCTGGGCTTAAGGGCTGTAAAGCCAGAAAGAAGCCATGGCTCTCAGAAAAGAACAAAAAAGCTCGTTACGAGTAGGCTTTAAAATACCAAACTTTTACCGAGGAAGATTGGAAAAATATTGTGTGGTCAGATGAATCAAACTTTGAGGTAAGTTAGCCAATATCATGTAATAACAATACGCGACAACAATATTATAAAATTATATTTGTAAAAATAAATATTGGACCGAAAAACACTTAACAAAATTTCTTTACTTTACAGATTGTTAGCACACCTAACGTAAACTCATGGTAGGCACACTGGTGTGACATTTGTCCGTCGTCGAGTAGGCGAAGAATTTACTCCGGAGTGTGTGGAGGTACCTATCGTCAAACATGGCGGCGGCAGTGTGATGGTCTGGGGGTGCATGAGCGCCGCAGGAGTTGGGGAAATGTTTGTGTGTGAAGGACGCATGGACTCTACAAAGTACATAAACGTTCTTGAATCCGCACTTCTGCCCTCGTTTACAACACTTTTTGGTGACACCAACATGGAGAGCGTCAAATTCCAGCAGGATAACGCACCTTGTCACAAACGATGGCTTGGTTTAGTGACAATAACATCGAGCTGCTTGAATGGCCTACCCAGTCACCAGACCTGAACCCCATCGAGCATTTGTGGGGTCTATTAAAGGGCAAGGTCCGGCGCCATTGAATAAAAACAAAAGAAGACCTAAAACGTCGCTTGCGGGAAGAGTGGAACGCTTTAACATGTGACGATTGTATTAAATTAGTACAATCTTTACCAAAAAGAATTTCTGCAGTAATTAAGGCAAAGGGTGGTCCAACAAAGTATTAATTTTTTGTTGTAAATAAACAATATAAAACTGTTAAAAACTGTTTTGATTCAGATACATGTATAATTCCTTAAAAATTAATAAATATCATGGGTGCTCAATACTTTTGGCCAAGGCTGTATAAACAGACGGTTAATAAAAACGTTATGTATTACTGGAAATTATTAGAGCGCATTTCAGACGGATGCAGTCGCGTCGGCATCTTGAGTCGAGGGTCAGCCGGCAAATCTTGATTAAATAACAAGTTGAACAAAACAAAACATTTCTCTTCTCACCCGAGTATCATTGGACCAAATTGTCGGTCATATGAATGTATAAACATGGACATATTACATGGATGTCCGTAATCAATAACGACCTTAAAGAAGGCCAAGTTAACAGTAAGACAACCCAGGACCGAGCCGCCTGGAGACGAATGACGCGGAGAGCCGACCCCAAATAAAATGGGAATGGGCCAGGCAAAGTAGTAGTATAAATGTATAAACATTCTTCCTATACATGTAAATTGTCGTTGTCACTTCGACTCAGGAAGTTATCAGTTACCATTTTATTGGTTCACTCATATTATTCACATAAATATTGATCGAGCCCTTAGTTACATAAATATGATATTACGTTGCCCCTGTCTGTATCCTTTGAACTAAATTGCAAACTCTATTCATTCACTTCCATGTTTTCGTAAAATATTTTTACTGCTGGAAGCACACAGATTAAGGTTGGGTAATATTGTACTAGTCTCCAGACTGAAATAAATCTTGAGTACAAGTAGTTGATGTGTACCGAATTCCTTTTTGCCTACTTATTTCAAGATGGCACAAACTCAAGTAGTCCTAATACAAGCACTTAAAATTGTGTGATGTGTTTTCAACTTTAGATACGAGGGATGTTCAAAAAGTAATGAGAAAGGGATATTTCCATCACAAAAAACTGAAAAAAAAATTGGGTAGGTAGCTTAATTCTTCACTAGAAACTGGTAAAATTAAAAAATAATTTAAGTTCACCATTGCGTTTAAGTATTACAGTCACCTGAACACACCCAAAAGCTCCATTTAATAAGACTCAAAAGACCCGAGAATTTTCCATCACTACCCGTAATCCCCTGTGGGCGTTTTAACAAGCCCTTCGCAATTTCCAACAGCCTTCAGCCCCTCACCGACTCCAATTAGAGAAGTCTGCCTTTGAAAACATATTACGCCACAAAGAAAACGCTTCGGAAAAGTTTCCTCTGGCACACTTTTAAATGCCGATATTTATATTCCAATTTATTACGTAATATTTCATAACAATTTTACGTAAGTCGAATAGCTGGTTACTTAAT